GTTTTTGGAAGAAGCTTACTATGACGCTACATCGTTTCCACATGGGTATTTGTTGCTCGATCTGAAACAATCTACCCCGGATGAGTATCGGTTTCGTACATGCATCTTCCCCACTGATACTACGCATTATGTTTACGTTCGGCGTGGATCCACCAGAACTTACGTATAAAACCCATGCATACGATCATTCTGCAACAGTCTTATCGTCCATTACCATTACTATCGTATCACTACCATTACTATCGTAATGGTAGTGAGTGGGGGGAGCAGAGCGAATGCGAAAAAAGGCGATAGAACCGCAAACGCAGCAAAACGGTCCATCGAGAAAAACATCTCTCTTTTGAAGGCGTTGTGCTACTTGACAGAGAAACAACGTGCTGCCTTTCTGCGGGAAGCTGATCGTGATTTCATCAGATGTATTTGCGAATGCGCCTTCAACACGCTCAAAGGTAACATACCGTTCGTCAGAAGAGAAAAAAATCGCCTATCGCGTTACAAATCAACGTTGCGTCATATCGCTAATGATCGCGGTGATTGGAGAAACAAACGGAGAGCGATAGTGCAGCGAGGCGGATTTCTACCTTATCTGATCGTCCCTATACTCGGGGCTATATTATCCAAAATTATCGGTAATTGAGACTGTTCACGCTTGAACTATGGAAAGAGCCAAGAAGATGGTACTGATTTCTACGGATAATCTCGAGAGATTGCAGCAGCAGGCCCATACATCATCGACTACAGCGTCGTCGTCGTTGTCGTCTTCCTCGACTGCGATCCCCTCTGTTTTGACAGATAATACCGCAACTGGGCTGAACATAGCACCAGTAGAGAATGAAAATACGGTGCGTACTCCGGGTTCTGTCCTGTCGCGTCTCGACGCCGAGATGCATAGAATTCTCAACTCTCCGGTCCTCGGAGGAGCACAGAAAAAATGGAAATTGTATAGAGAAGTACTTCAGCGATATCTGTACTTTTTTCGAGAGCGGGAAAAACACCGATTACGCGGAAAAAAAGAAGAGAAGCCTGTTGTTGGTGAGGTCGATGGTGATGAAAACGGTGGGGAAGGGGAAAAGACCCCTCGCGAAGATGACGATTACGCTGACGGAAACGCAGTAGAAGAAAACGCTGGTATGGTTGTAAATGAAGATATTCCTAACCTAGAGACTGATATACATCGAACGTTGAACGTTTCTCAACACGTACGAGACGAAAGACGCAGTCGTCATCGCACCAGCGAACAGAAAAGCATCGGAAGAATACTGAATAAAGTGCCAAAAAGTTACCGGGCTAAAGCGCGCAAGCTGCTGAGCCATTTGTGTGATGTGGCGGTACCCGGTCGATTAAGTTGAGACAGACAGGGAGCCGTGACTATAGATGATAGAATTCTGAGAGGATCGAATATCGTCGATCTCTTGAACGACGCGGCTCGCGAACGAAAAACTAGCAGAGCGGTAGCGAGAGTACAATTTGCACGACTTTTGCGTGAAGTGAATACTTCTCCGGAATTTGTAGGAAATTAGGAATTACTGCAGGAAGACATGGAAGAAAATGATCTTTCCGCGAGATTGAGAGAAACTCTTCCGAGAGATAGCAGTACCCCGCTTGCGTCACCTAACGATCAATTTTGGTCTAAACGTAAGATTGCCCAGACGTCGCTTGAGGAAAAGGATGACGAGGATGGACGGGCGCTGTTTGTAACAACTAATGAGAATAGAAATAAAACGCGAATGAGCGGTGACGTTTCTAAACCAGCGAATAAAAGATCTGTGATAGATTGGAACCCGTTAGAATTGAGTATAGCTTCTTCAACGGCTAACAGCTATGCACATCGACTTCCACCAGCGAAGGGGCGAACGTGCAAGCGCGCTATCGGGGAGACGTCTCTCGCGGGAGAAGAACGCGACGGGGGGCGTGTACACGCAACATTTATAACTTCCGATCAATATAGGCGTAAAACGCGAGTGAGCGACAACGCATCTAAATCGGCGAGTAAAAAACGTTTGATCAATTGGAACACGTTGGAATGACCGATCTCGCAAAATTCTACTACGATCCTACACACTATGCGGGATACTCTGCGATAAAAAATCTTTCGCGAGCAGCAGGACCCGGCTCCGCAGGCGAAGAGATTATTCGTTGGCTTCAGTCGTAGGATGCGTACACACTTCATCGGCCGATACGACATAAATTTCCACGTTTGCATTACAACGTCACGAATATCGACGATCTGTGGGAGGTCGATTTGATCGAACTCGCTAATCTCCGAAATTACAACGAAGGCTATTGTTACTTGTTGACAATCATCGATGTGTTTAGCAAATTTGTCTGGGTGGAACCAATACGAAGCAAGTCTTCGACCAGTATGACGGAGGCTTTTTGTCACGTACTTTCAAGAAACGAAGGGCGGGTGCCGCCGTGGTTGCAGAGTGACAAGGGTAAAGAATTCATCGGTCAAGCATTTCAAAATTTTCTGAAGGAAAAGAACATATGTTTTCGCACGGTGCGAAATCCTGATGTCAACGCTTCAACAGAACGCTCAAACGCTTATGGCACTATTTTAAACACAAAAATACACGTCGTTACATAGATGTTTTGCAAGGCATCGTTCACGCTTACAACGATACTCGACATTCCACCATTAAAATGGAACCGGCAAGCGTCACATTGGACAACGCACGCCTTGTTCGTGAACATATGCAGCAGCGATACCACCGTCTCGATGAACTCGATCGAAGAAATCATAGTTGAGGAGCTAAATACAAAGTGGGTACATTAGTGCGAGACAGTAGAGCGAAAGGAGTCTTTGAGAAAGGATATAAGGCGAACTGGACGGAAAAAATATTTCAGATTCACCGTATTCTCGAATGGCGAAATCCTCGTGTGTACGAATTGAGTGATCTATCAGGTGAAGTGATCGATAGGATATTCTACGAACAAGAACTGGCCCGGGTAAATAAAAACTTACAAGAAGAAGAGTTTATCGTGGATAAAGTGATACGATGCAGAGGACGAGGAGCTAATAAAGAATTATTCGTCAGCTGACGGGGTTACCCCTCTAAATTCAATTCCTGGATACCTGCTTCGAACGTAAAATTGCTTCCAAATCATGATGGGGGAAGACCGGTTTCTCATGATTCTACCGAGCAATAGTAACATGTGACACTATCCAGAAAATACAACTACTTCATTTATTACGAAATTGCCTCAAGAAATGAAGCTGACTGGTTTATGGGAAGTTGCGCTTACCGAAATTCAATTCCCCTTTAGTTTTTTACACGTGCGTCCCGAGGAAGATGCAGAACTCAAATTCATTTCGTTACCACGTGAAAATATTAATACCAAAAGCGTCAAAAAGGATGAAGACCATCTACCCAAATTCGGGGTTACCCGCATAACCCCGGGGGTTTACGCCACGATGAGCGAACTGTTACAGGCTTTAAACAACGCTAGCTCATTGCTCAAAACTTGTCGAAAATTATACAGAGACGTTTGGCGTACTATCCCAATACTGATCGTAATGTGAATCCCCAGAAAGCTAGAGAAGAAAAGTTTTACGCTTTCACCACGGCAAGACGTAAACTTATGTCCGACGAACCAGGTAGTGTGGTGCGGGGTGTACCTGATAAACTCTTTGTTTATTGCGATATTTACGAGTCCTATATAACGGGAGACGTCCATTGTCCTCTTCTCCGAGTGGTTCCCGTCGAATACAACGATGGTAAATATGCCTACGGACGTAACATGGTAAAGCATTTTTCGCCACCGAATTATATTCCATTGCGATTAACATGTTTTCGCACGATCGAAATAGATATAAGAGATCAGGTTGGCGAAAGAATACCATTTGAATTTGGGACGTTGACAGTTACATTACAATTTAGACGTCGAGATTAGAGATAATTATTCCGTAATTAGAACACATAGATATGACACCTTATTTAGAATATTACGAAGCACAATCCGGGAGGGAAATCGTGGTGGCGGAATTCCATGAATATTCGTAGGATCGCGGTATCAGAGCGGTCACTGTATCGGTAGTTTTCTCGATGGTCTGTTCAGACGAGTTGCCTTATTTAGCTAGTGGTGCGCATGTCGTTGGAAAAGAAGCTCTACGCGCAGGGATTAATATATTCAATGACGTAGGGAATAACACACCATTGAAAGTAGCTGTTAAAACACGCCTCAAGGAATCAGGCTCAAATCTCAAAAGAAGAGCGGAAGAACACGTTAACAATCTGATGAAGGGGTCGGGATATAAAGTTCCTGCGAAAATCGGAAAAGATCAGTTTCCTTTCAACACGCCAAGCGGATACAGTGGTAAATCATCTTCGCGTAAACATCGGGTCAGCGCTTCTAAATCAAGTAAGAGGAAAGTGACTCGAAGAAATGCATCGGGAAAGAAATCGGGTAAGAAGCTAGCGAAGAAACCCACGAAGAAGAAGCGTTCAATGAAAAAAAGCGGGAGAGGACTCACTAAACGTCGGGGAGTTATCAAGAAGCGTACTGTGTCAGACATTTTTTCCTAAACAACAAATGCGTGCTTTTGAAGTATGTCCTTTCTTCATACGCATTCCTGCGAATGTTTAAAGAGTGAACTCGATCTCTTCACCCTGCCGCCTACACAAACCAGTATTGAGAGTTCACAATGGATTCACTACAAACCCGTGTCTTCTCTCACAGACGACGCGCCCATCGAATTCGTCGTACCCGAGCATGGAGAAGAATACATAGATCTTGCTCACACCATGCTGTCGCTACGCATACGAGTAGAAACGGAAACCGGAGCAGGAGCCGCCGCCGTAAAAGTAGGTCCAGTAAACCATATACTGCATTCGATGTTCAATCAAATCGAAATCGTATATTTCAATCAAAAGCTCGTGTCTCCTGCAAACAATGCTTACGCTTACCGCGCTTACATAGAAGCGTTATTAAATTATGCTTCACCAGTAAAAATCCCCCACCTGGCTTCGTGCCTGTGATACAGCGATACTGCAGGGAACATGGACGCTATACTTGGAGCGACACCAAGCAATCACGGACTCGACAAGCGAGCCATTTTTGTACAAGGAGGGCGAACACTGGATCTCATAGGTCATCTTCACTGCGACGTCTTCAATCAAAATAAATTCTTGATCAACGGTGTCGAAGTGTGCATGAGGTTTGTTCGTTCGAAAGATTCCTCCTGTCTTATGGAGGGAAATACTATGTCACGGATACGTATTTTAGATGTTACAATACTCATCAGAAGAGCTAGAATAAACCCAGGCATATTACTCGCTCATACGAGAATGTTTACCAAGACTACTGCTAAATACCCCCTCACGAGAGTCGAGGTTAAATCATTCACGATTCATAGTGGCGTCGTAGGAGAGACACTGGACAACGTCATTCTTGAACAAATACCAAAGCGCATAATTGTCGGCTTTGTCGATAACAAAGCGTTTAACGGTGCCCGGCATTTAAATCCATTCAAATTCCAGCATTATGGAATAAATTTCTTTTCGTTGTATGTCGATGGTACTCAAATCCCTAGCAGGCCGTTACAACCCAAATTCTCTGGTAACGAGATGCTCTACGCCGAAGCGTATCACTTTTCACACCCTTTTCTCAGGAACGGGCATTCATTTTTTGAACGAAACTAATTCTATATCCTGTTACGTCCTGGAGGAGGAACGCAACTTGACGCTTGCTTTCGCAAGCTCCGACGTACTCGCAAATCTGCGGAACAGATCAAGGGTCGGAATGACCCCTTTATCTGGCGCAGACGTACGTCGGTGGTCCTTTATTTAGGTCAAGGAACTGAATCCTTTTACCTGGGATAGGACCGTGAGCGACAGTTGAGGGAAGGGAGAATTTTTGGTTGAGAATAATTATTTGGAAAACGTGATTGGTTTACAATTACAAACAACTTGTTTTATTAGTGATTAGACGGAAGTTCACAATGAAATACAATTTGTAAGATTTTATAATGTGTCTGTATACATATGTGGTTAACAATCGCGCTCAGAACAATAATTCTCGATTATTCAGAACAATATTCCGTGTTCGTTATGTCCGACTGTGATCGAAAGGATTGGGCCACTGACGTCTGATTTAACAATTAAGGAGGAATGCCAAGGAGGATAGAAAACGGAAGTAAAACGAAAGGAAAAGAAAAGAGAGAGAAGAAAAGATAAAAAAATGAAACGAAAGAGGTCACTCAGATAAAAGAAAATATAAGTAACTTACTGCTGGACTTCTCTGATCTTAGTAGGCAATGAAAGGTATGGTTGTTGAGTCTCTGTGAGGATGGACCCAAGTTGCGCCAAGGACTAGAAACTGGTCTCAGCAGGATCTCTCGCAATGTCTCAAGGGTGCACGAGATCGTTGCACAGAAGAATAGATGACTGAAGAACACTGATCTGACTCACTAATAGTAGGGTTGGTTATCAAAAAACCCTGAAGGAGTGTTGAAGAGAAGGCTCTGTCCTCGCTGCGGGTCGGTCGGGAGAAAAAATAGAAGTGGCATAGCTTTTTTACTTTACCAAAAACGTCACCTCGGTCGAGAGGTGGGGTTTGGGAAGTTGCATCAGGCTCCAAAGTTTATGTCCAAATATGGGTATAGAATTTTGTTGCAAACTTTTCGGAAGTGGGGTTTTAGTAGGGTTCTTAGATAAATATGATAAAGGATCGGATATCTATGGCAGTAAAAGATTTCAAGGTTTCGCTAGGGTTAGTCAGAGGTTGTGCGCGATAGGAATTTATGAATAACGTGGGAAACACGTGAGTTTCCGAAGATCAAAGGCTGGCAACATCATATAACAGCATGAAAAATTGTCTGGTCGGTCCGTCTTCAAAGAAAATTATTGCTCCGAACGGGAAGTTATTTAAGGTTATTTGGAGAGGAGGTATATGGCCAAAATGACTCAACGGATCTTTTCCGACGGAAATAGAGGAAACTCTGATGATTAACGCAGAGAGAAAAGAAAGAGAAATCTGCGTGTGTGACGTCACAGTTCTCGGAGGGTCGCGGAATGTGAACATTTGGTAGTATAATATAAAATGCAATCCATCCTACTTGACAACAAATTCGAAGTACGCGGAGTCCGCAGGACGTAACAATCCAGAGGAGATTATCCTGCTGGTTATACTCTTTTCGCTTTTAATCTCACTCCTGATCTGTCAGTTAATTGCGCGGGCCAATGGAACCTTGTGAAACACGATAGCTTGCGAATGGAAGTACGATTCGAAAGAGCCCTCACAACAACGGTCAATTGCTTAGTTTATGCTGAATTTGAAAGTGCGCTGGAAATAGATTCTTCTCGTCAAGTCATTGTACACTCAAACGCAAAAATCCGGTACACTAAAAATTTGGGAAAAAATTACAAAATTTCAAATGATCATAACTTGGTAAATAATGAAGATACAAATATGCGCAGAAATGCAAAATGAAGCTTGAAACGTCCTCTTTAAGAATATCTGAATGGCAATTATGCTCGACCATTTTTTTCAAAATGGCGGATGATAAAGTGGGAGGATGCAAAATTGATAATCAAAGGTCCGTGTTTGCGATGGTGCATGGTATGCATCAGGTATCGCAGCGTAATGGGACCAAATGCACATGAAAGTATAGAGTGTTATCTTTAAAATGCTACTTTACCGAGCTCGATGTGATCATTTTTCACTGAGTTGTTCCAAATTTTGCTAAAAATGCGGTTTTCTTGTTAAATTTGCATAATTCAGTGAATAAGTATCGCATCAAGCTCTATATCGAAGTATTTTAAAGAAAACATTCTATACTTTTAGGTACTTTTCGTCCCATTGAACTGCGACACTTACTTTGCTCCATGCGCCGTCGCACGCTCGAACCTTTTTTTAGCAACTTTTCATGTTCTCCTTTTTATCACCCGCCATTTTGAAAAAATATCGTTGCGCACAATTTCGATAGATCTTTCGAAAAGTATGGTTTCAAAGCTTTCAAACCGTTTTTGAAATTTGCTGCTAGGATATTTAGGTGTCGAGATATTCAATTTCGAATTTGCAACAAATGTCGATTCAGCGAGGCTTAAGGGGCTAAGAGGCTCTGCGGTTCGTTTGGCTCTTTCATAATTTCAATAGCCGCGTTCATTATTCTCTATACAATAATTTACACAATTTTGCGAATTGGAAATTTAATTTTTATCAAAAATTATCATTCTTTACCCTTCAGTTACGCATGATCACTATGGTATACACTTTAGTTCGCGAAGCTGTCCCTAGCTCTCTACCTTCTCCTGTAATGATTTGGGCAGGAATTTCAGCTAATGCTCATACAGATCTGCACTTTTTTGACAAGAATATGAACGCAGATGTATACGTGGAAGATATACTCATTCCGTATGTTGTTCCATACGCACCGGAGAGAACTTCTTGTTTATGCAAGACAATGCTCGACCACACACTGCGAGAAGAGTGCTTGATTTCTTCGATGAAGTTGGCATAAATCGACTCGATTGGCCAGCAAATAGTCCAGATTTAAATCCAATCGAACACTTATGGGACAACCTCGGCAGGAAAGTACGAAATCACGTACCTGCTCCTCAGTCACTGCGAGAACTGCGAATAATTCTTCAAAACGAATGGAATACAATTACGCAGGATGAAATTAAAAGACTAATAAGGAGTATGCCTGATCGTATGAATGAGGTAATACGCGCACGAGGCAGTCATACCCACTATTAGTACACACACACCACACACACACATAGCAGAGAGGGTTTGGAGTCATTAATTACTGCAGAAGTGACGAATTGCGGGGTCCTTATCTCTGCTGTAACACCACACACACACATACACACACACACACCACAAGGAGGGTGTGAAATCTTGAAATACTGTGGAGCTGACGAACCACGGGGTCCTTATCCTTGTGGTATACAAACACACACACACACACACACACTACATACAATGGGACTTTTCCTACCAGTAAAACTCCATGCGGTTTATTGGGAAGACTTACAACCATAATTTGAGCTAATGACAGCGGTATCTTAAAACGCAATTCATCTTTATTATGTAATATCGATTACGCAAAATAAAGAACCTAAATTGAATTTTACTTTTATTTCCCTGGCTTTCAAAATAATAAATGCAAATCATTGAATATATTGTGCAGGTTATGTAAATTATTATATAGAGAAACATGAACACAGCTATTGAAATTATGAAAGAGCCAAACGAACCGCAGAGCCTCTTAGCCCCTTAAGCCTCGCTGAATCGACATTTGTTGCAAATTCGAAATTGAATATCTCGACACCTAAATATCCTAGCAGCAAATTTCAAAAACGGTTTAAAAGCTTTGAGACCGTACTTTTCGAAAGATCTATCGAAATTGTGCGCAACGATATTTTTTCAAAATGGCGGGTGATAAAATGGAGAACATGAAAAGTTGCTTAAAAAAGGTTCGAGCGTGCGACGGCGCATGGAGCAAAGTAAGTGTCGCAGCTCAATGGGACGAAAAGTACCTAAAAGTATAGAATGTTTTCTTTAAAATACTTCGTTATAGAGCTTGATGCGATACTTATTCACTGAATTATGCAAATTTAACAAAAAAACCGCATTTTTAGCAAAATTTGGAACAACTCAGTGAAAAATGATCACATCGAGCTCGGTAAAGTAGCATTTTAAAGATAACACTCTATAATTTCATGTGCATTTGGTCCCATTACGCTGCAATACCTGATGCACACCATGCACCATCACAAACACGGACCTTTGATTATCAATTTTGCATCCTCTCACTTTATCATCCGCCATTTTGAAAAAAATGGCCGAGCATAATTGCCATTCAGATATTCTTAAAGAGGACGTTTCAAGCTTCATTTTGCATTTCTGCGCATATTTGTATCTTCATTATTTACCAAGTTATTATGATCATTTGAAATTTTGTAATTTTTTCCCAAGTTTTTAGTGTACCGGGTTTTTTGCGTTTGAGTGTAGATTATAGCGGTTAAAACGAGTCCCCCACTTTTCTTTTCGACGTCATTCCCCTTCCCGTGTAAAAATTTTCAGCATCATTCTCCTCCAAAGTAAAAATTTTGAGAAAAGAACTCAGTCGGTTTCGAGGCGTAAAGAGTATAGTTTCGGCAAGCAGAATTGAGAATACAACGAGAACATGGATGTGATCATCAAAGTGCAGTGTTTCCGCGATAGCAACGATATCTATATGCTCAAGGATGTGGCTATTGTCGGTATTAATGAGGTATTTGTCGGACATTGGATCTTAGCTCCAGAGTATTCATTTGTAGAATTGAACGAAAAATCAAGACGGATAAATAACTAGCTTTCGCTGAATTATCATGGAATCGAGTGGTATGATGGGGAGGTTAATCCAAAATATTTTTATCCCCGCTTGCGCGAAATTACGAGTTATATTCGTGACTTTATGACAAAAGGCAAGGAAAAAGTGAGCTACTTGCAAAATGTGTTAGCGCGAAACGTGTATAATCTGGAGAATATCTCGCCGACGTCCAGTGATCTTTCACCCAGTGAACGAATAGAAGGCTGCTCATTCCACACATTTAGAAAACACAGACGTTATCATTGTGCATTACGTGATGCATACAAATTGAGACACTGGTTCATTGAACAAAGTCAAATCAACATCAGGAAACGCGGCAAC